CTCTTCACACTTGTTAAATTGACACTCAGCTACTTTTATTCTCACTCAATAGCAATTTTAACCTTATCAAATGTCTAACCCTTTCTTCCTTTGTGCCGTTGAGTACTACGTAATTTACAACTATTATTTTTTACTTCTAAAGCCACTTCTGAGTAATTGTATCAATTATGTCACCCCCTCTTACTCAATAATAGACTACTATACATTTCTGGTAAATATAAATACGACTGTACAGCCTCTGAAGGTAATTTCCTCGAAAAAGAAAATTTTCTTCGCTGAATTGTCTTTTATTTTCTACAAAATAATATATGAAATGCAGTTCTGGAAGAAATAATACATATAAAAATAGGAAGATTTAAACATTCTGAAGTACAATGCAACTTTGCCAAAAATAACGTTTGTCATTTTTAAACCATATAGGACTAAATAACCATCTCCTTGGCGTCCCAAAGAGCTCAATAACACCTCACTTATCGAATTATCATCATACTGTTGTGACGATTTAACGCATGATTATCATCAATAAACAAGACAAAATAAAAGTGATTGAGTTTGGCTGAGCTTGTGAAATCAGATCAAATGGAACCGGATCTTTGTGTAGGAAAAGGAGATAGTAGTTAGTTTAAATCTACCTTGGCAGCATGCCTTTACAATTTACTTCTCCTTTCCCCTTCTCTTTTAAAAAATAATTATAAAAAAAATGGTTTCTTGTTTTATTATTATTGTTGAGTGTTAGTTCTTTTTGAGGTCAATCGAAAATTATGGTTGAGTAGCGGTCTTGTTGAGGAGTGTTGAAACTATCCTTTGAGTTTACCTTAGACACACTAAAAGCTTGTTGTTCAGTCTTATATGGTCTTAAATGTTGAATTCTCTTTGTATTTCATTATCACTAAGTATAAATTTCCATAATTTGTATCATATCTACCATGTTAATATGCACCTTGCTGAATATTATTCATATTTTAACAAACAATCACTCACCTCTTATTCGTGGTAGCTGATGTTTATTTGTTGTCATCATGTCCATGTGTTCATATACGTTAATCTTATAAATATATTGTAAATAATCCTGTAAGTGGAGAGTTTTCAGCCAAAAAATCCTGTCGAAATTTATGAATTCATGAAATGCTGTTGTGTTTTTTTCATAGTTGTTGCTTGTTCTGAATTTACTACGGGAAACAAAGGCAGTTAAATGGTCAACTACCTCAGTTTGTAAACGTAAGGTCCTGAGTTCAATACTTGTTTGGTTCAAAGGGGGCTTGCCACTGAACAATCCCCAATTAGGATGAAACAGTTTACCAGTACTCTCTGGTTCTCAGTTGTTCCCTAACTGATGTCAGCTTATGATTTAACCTGAAACTAATCGAATCCCAGCAAATCCTAAAAATATGTTTCAGCTCACACATAATCCCTTATATTTGACTGGCATAGTGACATTCAACGGCTATATGACAATGCCACGTGTTAGGTGATCCAAAACGGAAAACTCAGCGAGGCGTTCGAAGTGAATACAGCAGTAAGATGAGGGCACTTGCCTATTATCACCGATGTTATTCCTAATTGTTGTGAACTGGATTATGCATCAGACTGTGTGTGGGACCGAGGAGACAGGAATATGCTGGACCACCAGTAGGAAGACTCTAGAAGATCTGGGTTTCGTAGATGATACATGTATAGTGTCACAGAAACCCAAAGACTTACAGGCGAAAACCAACAAAATGGCTGAAGAGGCAGGTTGCTAAGATAGGACTTCAGGTGAACATAGAGAAGATGAATGTGGTAAAGATAACCAACCAATAGCAACAATAACCAACACCAATCACCATCAACGGGAGAGATTTAACAGAGGTTACCTCCTTCACTTATCTGGGCAGCCAGCATCGTTTCAACTACAGACGGGACGGATGAAGATATCAAAGCCAGCCAGAATCAGAAAGGCAAGATACTTCTTCATCACTCTGAAACCAGTTTGGGAATATTCTACACTCAGCATAGAGAATAAGATTCGGATTTTCAACACAAATGTCAAGTCAGTCAGTGCTACTATACGGGTCAGAAACTTGCACTGCGTGTCACGAAAAGCATTTCCAACAGGCTACTGCAAACTTTTATCAATAACTGACTTCGCTGGCTCCATACTGAAGATCAAATGACCAGCCAGAAAGAATTAGCAAGAAGAAACTCTGGGAACAAACTAACCAAGAGCCGATCATTCAACAAATATGTAGGAGAAAATGGAGACGGATAGGACATACGTTGAGGAGACCGTTGAATGACATCGCGCGCCAGGCCATTTAGTGGAATCCAAATGGAAGGCGAAGAGTGGGTCGTCAGTACTAGGGTGACGTGGAGGAGATGTAGCGAGGAGGAGGAGATGAGAGATTGTGGGCAATCGTGGATCCACCTGAAGAGGGCGGCAGAGAATAGAAGAATGTAGAGATGTGTTGTTGAAGCCCTATGTTCCACTCGTAACCCAAAGGAATAGTAATACAGTGACATGCTGTATTCCATCAACCAAGATTAATAAGTATGAATCAGTAGCTGTGAAATACGATGAAGTATTTCAAAAACTAGATGCAACTGTGAAGAATATAAACAAGAATGAATGGATATCACGTAAATAGTAAACAGAAGAGAATTGGGCTGTTCACCGGTGTACTATGAATTATGCTAATTATAACACAACAACCGTGGTGTAATTCTTTCACATTCTTTTGTATTCCAAGCGGAACATAGGGCTTCGAACCTTGATGTTTTAGTAGCGCTTGTCGTGTTTTTACAAAGTGGAGTTGTTAGCCTTAGGCCTAACCTTCCCACTTTTTCCGAACTTACTACAGCATGGATGAAATTTAGAAGTGCACTGCCCGGAAATCGAATCCCGAATGTGTGTGTGGCTGGGGGCCATCCTACTCCCAAATCAGCACCGACGTGGCTTGGTATAGTAAGAATACTAATTTGATTTGTGTTGCTGTAACTGACCAAATGATTAGATAAGTCATTACAATGTATATGATATCTAAGAAATCACATATATTATATACTTATGTAAACGAACTTGCCCCTCAAAAACAAAACTTTTCCCTGAACTACTTGTATTTCTAATTCTCACTAGTTTGTACAAAAGTTCACTCAATAGCTAATCTTTCTTTAGCTAGTCACATTACTACATCAGAATTGAGACAATGACTTCATTCTTGAACCCATTAAGTCAGTATCTGCTGATCTATCATTTTCAACCGTTACTTACTTGAGTTATCAATTGCTACAGCTGATCTACTATACTTAAACTTGTATTAATCCATCTCAGCAGTAATACCTTCTCATTGGAACTTGGAGAATTTCATCTGAAATCTAGTTAATAATATTGGTGAAGTTAAACTGTTATAGCCAAAACCACAGTGACCTTGAACAGCCAATCAGAATTCAGATACAAAAAAGTCGCGAAATCGTTGAAAAATACACTAAAAAGTATTGCAAACTTGATATACCTGTATAGTTTTAACAACCGGAATATACCCATTCATTCAGGTGACTGTAAGTCATGGTACTTTGAGATCCATTGGTATTTCTGATACTATTCTCCAACCTACTCCTAATTCTAACTTTAAGCCTAAACCTAACCTTAACCCTAGACCCTAAACCATAATCTAAAAAGCCATAAACCTAACTAACAGTATAGATATACAGAAAAAGTACCTAGAGAAAAAGTGGAATACTGTATCTGCCTTCTCCAAGTCCAGAGAGGCAGGCATGATTTGATTTCGAATGACCTTTCATAGCATTCCCCGTATCTGATCGCTTCTTGAAGGTCAACTTTGAAAGTCCTTGACTCTGGCTATGATAGTTTAACTTCGCTGTAATATTATTCCAGCAACTAAATTACCTGCTTTCCGTCAGCATATACTACTGATTGATATGAACAGCGGGGTACCACTCACACCAGTGTTGGCTAGCCTGATCTAAGCGATCTAAACACTGAACGACCATTTTGCTCGTGTATGACTAGGCACATCAGTAGTAAACTGGATTTAACTCATAGAGCCGAATCAGTTGAAACTACCCCAATTCTGATCAGATGACCAGTAAGGATTAGCAGCTAAGAACTCTGGGAACCAACCAACCAAGGACCTATCACTCAACAAATATTCCGAAGAAAATGGAGATGGATCGGACATACGCTGAGTGACATCGCGTGCCCTAATTGGAACCATAATCAGGTAAGACGAGTTGGTCTTTCGAGGATGACATGGGGGATATCGTGTGAGCCGGAGGAGGAGGTGAAAGCTCACGGGCAACCGTGGAACAAGCCAAAGAGGACTGTAGAGAAAAGGAAAAAGTTGATGTGCTGTTGAAGCCCTATGTTCTACTCGGAACCCAAGAGAATAATGGTAACTTCTGACTAGCTACTTGGGTGAAGCGGTAATACATTGAATCACATTCTCAGTTTACAAAATACACAGTTCCTTTATAAACCAAAATTATTCAGATCACGATATATATTTAATCTATTTGATACTCTAAACGGCAATCAAGAAGGCAAGAATACATGCATAGTGATATACTACTACTGATTATTTGATTTAAGTAGTTGTCTACTAATCATGTCAACCAGCAGTGCTTGCCAGCGAAGTCAAAGTGATCTGAACACAAAATGAACATTTTCATCGTCTGGGTCCGAATTCATTACCAGTGTACCCAGACTGACTCAGCTTAGATAGTCGAGTCAGATCTAATCATCATTTATGCTACCAACCAGATCACGCACTGAAACAGTCATGAATGGTGATCACCTTATACTATCTAATCTACAATTGACGAATTCATTAAATCAAAAACTCACAGAATATACAGTATAACCCATATACACACGTATGAGTAGTATATGAAGAAAAAAGTAATTTTTTCAGAAAACAATTATTTCTTCGTCAGGATAATTTTTTATTATTGTTATTATTTGAATTGGACAGTTCGCTTTATTTATCAATAATCATTATCATTCAGGCTCATGAGACTGGTTATTTCGTTCAGTTATGTAATATGTATGCATGTGTGTGTGTGTGTTTGTAAAAGTGTGTAGTTCCACATGTATACATGAACATGGGCATGTGCGTGTGTGTGCGCTCAGTATTTGATCTTGTTCAATATTGTTATCACTCCTTTTATGAATAGTTGTCATCATTACTATTGTTATTATTATTATTGGTCTCATTATTCATATTTCGTCGAAGATAATATGCTGAATTCAATTCATTAATATCACAGTCAAGAAAACTAAATAATAATTCTACTTCAAATTGAATTGTTAATTTATTTGTAATATGATGTAATTCTTTAATTACTTGTAAAATTTCTTTAACCCATGGATTTGATGGTTTAATTTGATAACTATATTTAGTATTTTTTAATATTTCTGAAATAAACGGTATAATACAATCCAATGAATTGGGTTTATTTTTAAATGTTGTATAAATTAATGATTTAATATCAACGCATAAAGGAATATCCCGTGCTATAGTTAACCGACCTAAAAATCCACCAAGATGTTTCAATGCTTTACCATTACACGTATCAAGATTTGGTAATTTTAAGATATAATCAATTTCTTTAGTTAGTATTTCTAACATGAATGTACTAAAATTTGTATAACGTTCTGAGATGAGTAGAACAAATTCAGCATATAAATCATGTAGATTTGGCTCAGAAGCAACACGTCGTAGAATTGAATCAGCTAACCATTGAATAAAATGATGTGGCATAATGGAAAAGACTTCATCAACTTGACGTTTTAAATTACACTCAGTAATATTATTCATTATGAAACAGATTTTTTTCGATATACGATCTGGTGGTGGAATACATTTTGTTGTGAGCCTGGATTCCATTGTTCCTGCTGTCTTCGTTATTTATTTATTTATTCAATGATGAGGAAATAAAGATAAAATATAATTAGATAAATCCAAACAACGTTTAACCGCTTGCTCGCTTGCTTGCTTGCTTGCTCGCCGAAACAGTATTTGCAATGAATTAACAAGGAAGCGTAGTTTGTGTATAGTATCTTTCTTTCTCTCCTACTTTTGAAATAATATAGCTAAAGTTAAAAAAATCGATAATAACAATAATAAGTATTGATTTTTCTTTGTCTAGAAAAAAAATGATATGAAATTCTTATAAATAGAAATGACTGGGAAGATTTGTAGCTCAGGTTATGTTCTACGAACTGGATAGTTTATTTGTGAAGTTTTTATTGTTTTTCTAGACTATGGATAACCAAGATTATTCAGAAAGACGATTATATCATTCAAGAAGAATTCAAAAAATAAAGCCCAGTTCATATTGAGATCTGAGCTGAAGATATTGTCTACAAAGATGATGAAAGTTTGACAAATATACAATCTAATTGAGGGAATCCAATTACACCGATATATATAGCGATTACATCAACGTTATTCACCATATTAAGTTAGTACGGAGAGAAAACGTTATAAAAACACTCATGCTATGATCTTATGCAACTGAATTAAGTTGAAACTGTAAAGTAAGTTTGTCAGTGATGTATGATAATTATCCATGATATTATGTTCTACTAACTGGCTGATATAAGCCATAGGAACCACTCACATCAAATAGAAGTACTTCCTAGCCAAATCAAAGCTAATAGATCAGTAGTAGAATGCTTTTCAACCACCCACGTGATCTAGTTTCGATCCCCGTTCTACGTACTGCTAAACTTCGCCTTGTTTACTAGAGAGTAGTAAGCCCGAGGAAGAGGTGATGTTGGTTATGAGGCCAGAAACCCTAGCCCATAAAAAACAACACAACTGTTACTGGAAGCCTTTTGTTTCGCTTGAAACAAGAGAAGCTAGCAGAACAAGCTCTTACTGGAACATATATGTTATACTACTGCATGGTTGGAGATTACGGTATGAATTTCGTGATTATTGGAACTCATTACCAAGGCATACCTAACTGGAACTGATGTCTCCACAGAAATTCGAATTCCTCCCCTACTTAATACGAAGGTTACAGACGTTACTAGTGTGTGGCATCATGTAGTGTTGTACTGTTTATACCGATCGGTTGCTGCAATGTAACCAATGCTATGTATTTTTCATCTAATACAGCTGCTCTCTAATTACGATAGACATATATTTCTCTTTTGGTAAATCTAAGTAAGTAAATATCAATTGAAAGTCAGGCTGAAGAAGGTGTATTCTTCCCAAGTTTGATCACTTATGACTGGCTACAGAATGAAGTCACCTGAAGTTCTAGTAAGAAGTTGTGACCAGTAAGGTCCATCAGGTTGAGTGTAAGGTCAAATACTCATCGATCACACTGGCTGGCGGTGGCTCTATAGATCGCAAACTGGCAGAACCTAGAACTCATAGGCCACAGGATTCCATCCCATTGACTGAATGGTCAAAGAGTTCGCCTAGTTATCTGAAGGTCCTGGGTTCGATCCCTAGCAGTACAGTCATGGGCGCGTGCTGCTGAAGAGGCCTAAGTGAGAACTAATGCGAAATTATATATCTTACTATAGTATTCGAATTGTATTCTTACATTACAAAAAAATACAGCACTTACCTCAGCGAGATGTTGAATTAAATTTGCAACGCAAATTCGACTTAACTGTACATAAAAATAAAAAGTTTATTATTCAACATACTGGTACCAACTAATAGAATTTTTCATGTCATAGGTCAAATTATTTATAGTTCATGAGTTCAGTTCAACTAACATAAATGTCAAAAAAACAGAAATCTGTACAGTGAGTATATTCATACTTTTCCAATCAACATAGCGTTTTGAGTATTATTATTATTGATTATTTATGAAGTGAGTGGTTATTCTTGGTCTATGGCTTCAGGTCATCATTCATGTCAGTTAAGAAATAGTTATGTATTGACAACATTAGAGTGTACTCCAGGCATCAGAGTAAGTGACTATGACTCATCTTAATGAAGGCTTGTGCTTAATGTTCACTTTGAATTTCATTCTATCCGATTATAAACTTCGTATGACAACATCAGAAACATTAAGTGGGGTGGGAGGGGGATGAAATGGAGTAAGAGGTTATGTGGATGTATGTGTGTGTGTGGGTGGGTGAGTGACTGAATAACAGAGGCTTCCACGTGTACAGAAACTGGGATGAATGAGTCGGATGGATTTTCATCATTATAAAAGTTTTCATATTTCCCAATAAATGAATAACAAAACGATATTGTTGTTACCAGTGTTTCGTTATTTAATGCTAATAGTCTAGGAAACTAGTCAGTTACGCTGACTGAACGACTTTGAGTGGGATTCTGATCGGATTCGCTTAGGAATAACGCTGTCGACTGTTGTGTGGCCATCCATCCTGCTAGACCTGAGTTTAGGCCACATGACATGCCGGCTGTTTGGCCTGGCCAACCTTAACTGGTCACCAGACTGCTATTAACACCGCCTCAGATAGGCAAAAGGGAAAATAACCCTATTCAGACATTCCATTTAATATTGAGTGCTTAATTCCTTTTTGATTTCTGAAATTTCTCTGCCATCCGAAATTGAGAACAGAAGTTGAAAAGTTGTCATCATCGTCTTTTATGACCACGTCACACACTTGACTGACAGATTTCTTTTAACACTTGAGAAATAAATATTTTCAGTGATTAACATCTACGGATTAATTTTCAAGTATTGGTTTTGTAGGGATTTTGTTTGATTGCATGGAGGATTTCATCATGAGCTGACTGACATCAGTTGGGAAGCCGTGACCAGTAGGGTACAGCAGGTTGAAGATGAGGCAGTAACTCATCGAAGAAGACATTGCGAAATGGTCGCGCTATGTCGTGAATTGGCAGGAGTTAGAATTCAAGGACGATTGGATCGGGTCCCAGTGTCTCAATGGTCTACGAGGTCGCCTTGTAACCAGAAGGTCCTGGGTTCGAACTCCCTGCGTATTGCTGAAGATCCCCAAACTAGGTCGAAACAGATGTCTAGTACTCCCAGGTTTTCCAGTGGTTTTCTAACTGATGTCAGCTCATGATGAAATCCTCCATGCAATCTACGGATTAATCTGATGCAGAAATTCGAGATATACAATAGTTTGACGGGATATGAAAAATATTGTTATTTAGTTGTTTACAACTGAAAATGGAGCCCAGAACATGAGTTTCGTCTCGTTTGAGGCTCGTCATCTGGATGTACCTGCACAAGTCGCATTATAAAAATAATGACAATTATTATCAAGGTAGAGGGGATTTGATAGCAATTTCTTTTTTAAATATAATTACAGTAAAAGGTAATTAATTCACATACGAATATTACGAATCATTTTGCTTTCAAGTTATATCATACAGGGAGTTGACATCTTCTAGATGAATTTGACTGTGAAGGGAGTGCCAAGGAAGTACATTGCACTAATCAAGGCACTCTACTCAAACTCACGTAGCCGTGTAAGGGCTTACGGGGAATTGACATCTGAATTGATAACAACCAGTGGTGTCCGTCAAGGATGTCCACTTTCCCCTTTTCTGTTTAACTTTATCATAGATATGCTAATGGAAGTATCCTTAACTGAACTTAACGACTTAGGAATCGACCTGCCACAGGGAATAGTCTTATGGACTTAGAATATGCAAATGACATAGTCCTGTTAGGGGAGGACGCTAAAAAAATGCAGAGTCTTCTGAACACCTTGAGCAGCAATCTTCGTATGTTTGGCATGCGATTCGCCCCTGTAAAATGTAAGATGATGCTACAGGACTGGACTACGTCAACTCCTAGCTTAGTGATAGTGATAGGGAGTGAAGTGATAGAACATGTTGACCACTTCACCTATTTGGGAAGTTGTATCAGCACCATCGGGTTGATTGGTGACGAAATCTCAGCACAGATCCAAAATGCTCGAGCTGCTTTCACTAACTTACGCCATCTCTGGTGTAGGCGTGACATCCGACTATCAACCAAGGGACGTGTGTACTGCTCAGCAGTTCGCTCCGTCCTTCTCCATGGCTCCGAAACATGGCCAATACGAGTTGAAGACATGAACAGGTTGACTGTTTTTGATCATAGATGTCAACGATCTCTTTCTCACGTTAGGTGGTATAATAAGGTAAGTAATGTTGACATAGATTGAGATGGCTAGGTCACGTGCTGCGCATGCCTAAACATCGCCTCCCCCGACGGGCATTACTAGCTGATATAGGTGCAGTTTGGAGTTAAGAGTAAGTGGTGGCTAAACAAAAACATGGCATCAATCCATGAAATCCTTGACAGTTAAACTGAGTCAGGTAGGGAGATGCAGACTTTCGGGTTGGGGCCCCCGGGACTCTAATAATCAATGGCTGGAGACAATAGGTGACATGGCTCAAAATCGTTGTCAGTGGCGCAGATGTATTCAGTCTCTTTAACCGTTCATATTCCTTTCTACTATTACTCATTCTGTTTCACTCTTATACTTGTCAAAACTCTATTGATTCTCTTCACTCATCTTCTTGTCTACCTTTGTGTGCTATTTGGAACGTGGTAACTCGAACTGCTGCACTTTGGTGCCAAGTTCTATGTTGAATCCAGACAAAGACAGACAGATGAATTCAAGGGAAATGAACTAACAATATCATATAGGCTAATGGCATCTGACAATCGATGACAGACCTTTGAATATTCAAATTAATCATAATAGAAAGAAGATGCTAAGACATCACTTTTAACTAGTAGATGCACACAGGAAACTGTATTAGTTATATTTATGCTAGTCATAAAAATAAGCGAACTACATAGGACTGATATTTTTCAAGAAATCAAACTTTTAAGAATACCTTTAGGTTTTGCAGCGGTGGTTGTAGGCTAACTACATGAAGGTTTGCAGTAATATAGTCTAAAAGTTAAAATAAGGATATTATGATGATCGAAATATAGAACGTAGTTGTCCAGTTCGTGTAAATTTTGTTGACTAAATTTTACTGGATCTAAAAGTTGTTTCTACCTCTGTTGACACGTC